CCTCAGCGTGATGTTTCTCAGGTAGGGATCTTTTTAATTTTTCAGCGGCTTTGCCTCCCTCCACCGTTCTTTTTGGCTTTCCTGTTTATATGGCTTATTAAAATAAGGTACAGTTGCCATGTTCCCTTCTTTGGGAAGACTCTCTCCTTCTTCCAATGTTAGGCTCCCTCTTCTGGACTCCCACAGTATTTCAAGTCTTCTGTTGCTGTGATTATGATTTCATTTTGTAATTAAAAGAATCTATTTATCTGTTTGTGCTGAGATCCTCCAAGGAGCAAACCACATACATTTATGCAATTCTAGCCCCTAACAAAGCTCTCGGAACAACAAATATGTGTTGGATGGATGAATAATAATGATAATCGCTAACATTTATTGAGTGTGAACGTGTTAGACACTGTTCTGAGGGATTTACATCTATTGAACTCATTCTACTCTCACAAGAGCCCTATGAATTAGGGACTATTATTATCTTGATTTAACAGAGAGACAAAAATGAGACATGGAATGTTCAAATAACTTTGAAATTCATGTAACTTATGAAATTCAAATACGCCCTACAGCTAGTAAATGGTGGAGCTGGGATTCTAACCAAGAGAGTTTGGTCCAAATTCCAGGGTCCTAACTATCATCTACACCAGCCTGTAGACTGTGCAGGACTTGTGGTTCCTGGTCCAATATGCCAGTGCGTGTTCATGCCACAGTGCAGGCTCCACCTTTGTTATTCCCGTTCATTACTAGGTGTCTGTTAGGTATTGCCATGTGTCATGTTATCTCACTCAATCACACAAGAACTTGTAGGTGGGTGTCATTATCCCCACTTTTATAGACGAGGGGCTCCAAAGAATATGGTACCTTGTCGATGATCCCATAATTAGTGGCAGAGCCAGGATTTGAATCCTGGTGACACTGACTTTAAGTTCCGTGCTCTTTCCATGATATCACATGATTATCATAGAGAGCACCCTGGGTCTTAGATCCTTGCTACTTGTGGGAAACTGATGGGCACTTGGTGGAAAGGTACAGGCTCTTCCAGCTTTGATGTGATCTGAGGAATGTTCTCCAATAGTCTGTGACTTCCTCCATGGGGTTGCCATTGAGGGCTTGGAGTCTCTTTTCAAGAACCCAAGTCTCTAGTTCCCATGACCTCTAAAATGTGAGCTCTGACGTCAGGGACTCATCTTTTTTGTAACTTCAGTGCTTAGAACATCTCATACAGTAGGGTTCAGTAAATATTTGCTGAAGAAATGCCAGATCTAACAATTCCTTCTCCCTCCTTAAGCTAATTTAGGTGATATTTTCTGTTGCTTACAATCAGAGGAGTCCAAACTAATAACCCCCATGGTAGGTTTTATTAATCAGTTATGACACTTTCTGTAGCTTAATCTACAAAAGGATTTTGAATCCTTTCCAATATGGTGCTCCAGGCAGACATTATGAATTGTTAGAATTAGCAGGTGAGATGGAACTCATTTAGAATCTATACTCATTTTCCATTTACTGTGAAACAGATTAATGCAAAATTGGCAGCTTCTAACAACATATATTTATTATCTCACAGCTTCTGTGGGTTAGGAGTCTGGGCACGCTGGGCTTATCTGGGCTCTCTGCTCAAGGTCCCACAAAGTTGCAATCAAAATGTTGGCTGTTCCTTCCTGGAGCTCAGGTGTTCTTTCACACTCACGTAGTTGTTGGCCAGATTCATTTCTTTGCAGCCACAGGACTGAGGTCCCCATTTTTTTGCAGGCTGTCAGAGGGAGGTCACTCTCAGCTCTCAAGGACCCACAGAGATCCTCTGTGTGCCAGTCTTGCTCACTACACAGCAACTCTCTTCTTCCAGGTGTGCAGGAAAACATTTTCAAGAAAGACTCAGTCTCTCTTTTCTTTTTTTTTTTTTTAATTTTTTTTAACGTTTTATTTATTTTTGAGACAGTGAGAGACAGAGCATGAACAGGGGAGAGTCAGAGAGAGGGAGACACAGAATCTGAAACAGGCTCCAGGCTCCGAGCTGTCAGCACAGAGCCCGACGTGGGGGTCGAACTCATGGACCGAGAGATCATGACCTGAGCCGAAGTCGGCCGCTTAACCGACTGAGCCACCCAGGCGCCCCTCAGTCTCTCTTTTCAAGAAAGATTAAGTCAGATAATCCCCCTTTTGATTAACTGAAAAATCAACTAATTTGGGACCTTAATTACATCTTTAAAAATATTTTTCCTTAGAATATAACTTACTGATGGGAGCGAGAGCCCTTACATATATAGATCCCACCTGTATTCACGAGGACTGTGTTATACAGAGTGTGTACGCTGGGTGATGGGAATCTTGGGAGGCTATCCTAGAATTACTCCGACTTCAGCATCCCTGATCCAGCCCAAATTCTTTCCTGTACAGGTGAAAAAACCGAGGCCTAGAGAAGGAAGTCACTTGCCCACGCACATGTGGGTCTAGAGGCCCAGCTGAAGTTAACATTCTAGTTCTTCAGCTTTCTACTCCAGTGCCCTCGAGGTCATTGTCAAACTACTGCTGAACCTGTTTATCCAGGTCTGTACAGTCTCTGACCTTGTAGCAACAACTTCTGTGTTTTAGTCATTTTTGTCTTTCCCTTCGCCCCAACTCCCCTTGCCCTAACAAACAGATACACAAAAAATGTTTGTGTTGATTTGACTAAAAGTCCATTGGAATTCGAAGGATGAAGTGAATTGTATAATGTCTAACACCAAACCAATGAAGGATTCAGACACAGAGAGAAACCTTAGAGGACTTTGATGGAATATTAATAGAGTCCCAATGATGTCCCAGGGACAATAATATCTCTTCTTCTAGCAGCAGCTGTGACCTTTCAAAGTTAAGAGTCACCATGGGGACTCTTCCTAAGGGCTGGACCCCCTGCTTTTTGGCAAATGAAGCCACTTACCTGTGATGGTTATGCTGGGGCTTGGGAAGAACATGATGAGTAGGTGAAAAGGTTGTTAAAAATGTCAGCTGATGACCCCAAATGATCTCTTGGGAGTCAGTGGGGTTTATAAGCTTTCACTCACCAGCTGTTTTAGGGTATTTGTATGGACTTTGTTCCTCTTCTCATAGTCCAGACTTCTTAATATAAAATGCAAATTCATCTTAACTAAGGTGCCTGCAAACAGAATCCCGTGGGAGCTATACATATAATATACAAAACATATATATGTTAGAAATATAAATGTTAAAATATAAAAGTGTTTTATCACAACTTCCCAGAGACCACATTTTAAAAATGAATTTTATTAAAAAAATTTATTTTTAAACACTTGTTTGTTTTTGAGAGAGAGAGACAGAGAGACAGAGAGACAGAGAGAGAGAGAGAGAGAGAGAGAGAACGAACAAGCGGGGGAGGAGTAGAGAGAGAGGGAGACACAGAATCCGAAGCAGGCTCCAGGCTCTGAGTTGTCAGCACAGAGCCTGACATGGGGTTCGAACCCATGAACTGTGAGATCATGACGTGAGCCGAAGTTGGACGCTTAACCAACTAAGCCACCCAGGCGCCCCAGGACTACCTTTTTTTTTTTTTTTTTTTTTAATTTATTTTTTATTTTTTATTTTTTATTTTTCAACGTTTATTTATTTTTTTGGGACAGAGAGAGACAGAGCATGAACGGGGGAGGGGCAGAGAGAGAGGGAGACACAGAATCGGAAACAGGCTCCAGGCTCTGAGCCATCAGCCCAGAGCCTGACGCGGGGCTCGAACTCACGGACCGCGAGATCGTGACCTGGCTGAAGTCGGACGCTTAACCGACTGCGCCCCCCAGGCGCCCCCCAGGACTACCTTTTTAATGAGAAAAAACCTTTCTGAGATATGGATACCTATACAATTTCTTGGAAAGAGCGCATTTCATGGAAATTATCAAATTGTTTAGACCAGCAATTGCCTGAAAAATAGTGGACTTTTAAAGCATGGCAAATGTCCAGAAGTGATTTGTAGAGTAAGAGACAGATATAGGGCAAGAAGGAAAAGGTGTTTTTTTTTTTTTTTTTTTTGTACAAGATTCTGAAAGGCATCTTTGATTACTTTTATTATATGAGTTTTCTATTGTTGTATAACAAATTACCCCAAAACTTAGTGGTTTAAAATAAAGGACAGTTATTATCCTATCAGTTCTTCAAGTCTAGAATCCAGATGTGGCTTAGCTGAGGGTTTCTGGCTCAGGGTCTTACTGGTGTTAGCCAGATCTGTGATCTTATTTCAAGGCTCTATGGAGGAAGATCCTCTTTGAAGCTCACTCAGGTGGCTGTTGGCAAATGAGCCATCAGCTCTTGAGGGCTGTTGACCAGAGACATCAGTTCTCTCCTTAGGGCAATTCCTTCATGTTCTCTCTGAGCCACACAAGACAATGTGTCACTGTCAAAGCACGACCTCATAATTCACAATGTCTCCATGCTTGCTTCAGGGAAATGACCTTAGAGGTAACTCAGAGCTCCTATGTCAAAGAGGAATTACAAATGCTTGTATAAAAAGTTCTTTAATATGTTTGTTGCCCTCTACATTATATAAATATCAAAGTCTGAAATCTTGGCTTCCCCAAGTCTGGTTTTCCTAATTATTGTACTGCTAGCTGTATGTGAAGGCAGCTAAGTTCATGGATAGTTTCAGAAAGGCCCTATGTCCCACCCACTTGATTAAAAACAAAATACTCAAATTTCCATTCTTGTAATAAATCTGTTATGTTAAAGCACAAGTTTTAGAAGGCTTCTGTCAAAATGCAAATAACAATCCCATATCTTTCATTACCCAGAAAAGCAGTTGATGTCAGGCCGGCTGATGACAGGAGACAGAGCAGAACCCAGAGAGGGCAGGACCAGCTGAAGCATCACAGTGTAAGGGATGCATGGGTATCTGGGCACCTGAGGGCAGAAAAGGAGGATGCCACTGTAAGAATCCTACAAAATTAGAACTGGAGAGGCTTAAGAGTTTAAGATCACATATTTATTTATTTATTTATTTATTTATTTATTTATTTATTTGGTAGGCAAGGAACCTGTATGGAGGAGAACTACATTGGTATGTATGACATGACAGGCTGGTCGTGGAGTAGCAGCTGGAACCTGGGTCGCCTGAAGATGAGATAAGACCAGCTTCCACTGTGATGGTAGCAGAATCAACACCAGTGCTCAAGTCGAAGTGACATTCCTGGATCCTTCTCAGAATCAAGCTCTCTCTGCTCTCTGCCCTTTGCCCACACCTTTACCTGGCCCATCTTAATCAACGTTGTATTAAAATGATGTGCATAGGAATCTCGCTTTCCCCAATTAAGTGGACATCTATCACTTGTGGTCTAGTGTTTAATATCTCTTATTTTAGTAAATTTCCCCCGGCAGGCCATTCTTCCCACTAGTTTTGTGGTCGGGAAGGATTAGCTCCACCTCCAGAGTCTTCGGCATGAGCTGATTATCCCTCCCCTCTGCAATTGTTTCAAAGAGGGGCACACAATCTAAGCTGAGCCAGTAAGCTCTGAGGAGATATTTTCTGTAATTCCTGGAAAGAAATGCCTTCTGTCCACCACTGGTTTCAATCATGTGTGGCTGCTATAGACATTTTTTATCAGGAGGGAGACCAGCTAGAGACTGAGGACAACCCAGGAAGGAGGCAGAGCTAAATGATGCAAAGAAATTAAGTCTGGATGTTGTTATTTGAGTCTGTGTATCAAAATGAAACTGAAGCCAGTTCAATCCTTGGACAATAACCTAGAGTGATTTATTCAGGTCTTTCTCTGAAAAACAAATAAACAAAAAATGAATGCTCACCTAACATCTGCAAAACTAAATATGCTGATGAGCTCCCTCCAAGAATGATAGACTCTTGCAAAGGCAAATTTCATTCTTCAAACCAGATGGCAGAAACTTACTTACCACTCTAAAAATGGTAGCTCTTTTGAGCTTAAGAAAATCTTAAAACAGAGCCTCCAGGAGGGATTATATAAGGAGAGTTTTCATAGGATATTTGACTATATTTTCTCAAAGAATCTTCCTAACAAACATTTTTGACAGGTTATTACAGCTCCCAGATTACAAATGAAAACATGGAGACCCTGTGAAATTTAGAGCTATGGACTAGAGACAAAAGCTCCAGACAGTAATGGCCCGGGGCCTTTCCCCAGTGTAGACTGTGATTTGGCTGCATTAGTTAGACTGACTCTGGCTTTCCCTGTTGTTATGAATAGTTGTTACGAAAACATAGACTCCAGAAGCTCTTATGTCTGGCTCAGTCTGAGAACTTCACATGGTAAAAAGGTAAGATAAAAATGTTTTCATAATGAATTTACTCAACTCTTGCAGACAGACAGCTAGCCGGGTGACCTGTTTGCAGATGGTTCATTTTAGCCTCTAGAATCATCTCTCCAAGCACTCAGGACTCTTCCTGATGGACACTTTCAGGAATTAAACTCTAAGTTCCTTATTAAAGGCCCTTTGTTCCCTGTGTTTGGATATGGTTGAACCATATCCTCATTGGTTCAACGCTCTTGGCATCGTAAGCTAAGTTCTGGACTGGTTATGGCAGTAATACTAGACTATAACTGCCTGAAGGGAGATGCCATGTCTGGCTCCCTCATTTTTATGCCCTCACTCAGCTCAAAATATGACACCAAACATGCATCCCACTTGTTTAAGAAATGAATTTCTGAAAATTGATTCAGGAATGTCAAACAAGATTGAAAACTGAGTTGAGTTGATCAAGTAAGATTTATGTAATATAATAAGAGACACCAGAGTTGAAAGAGAGTGTTGAGAATTGGAGATGCAATGGATTGTAATGGAAAGAAAACAGAAGAATAAAAAAAACCCCATAAATATACATCTTCATTTGTGATTCCCTAGCTAAGGGATTTGGAAAGCCATTGAATCATCCTGGATATTGTTTTCTGTGTCTACAAAAGGGGCTAACGACATAGAGTGGATTCACAGAGTCGTTATGTCAGATAAAATGGCATATGTAAAAGTATTTTGCATATTTCTGGACACTGTATATAGTTCTGGTGCGGAAATTAAGGAAAGGAAATGGCAACCCAAATGTGAGTTGAAAGAGAACAATTGATTTAGAAACTAAGCAAATAGAGGGCTCTTCCTCAATCAACCAACTTTCATTTATTGAGGAATCTGGTACATTCACCAGTTGATGTCAAGTTAAGGAACATGCATCTCTGAAAACTTTCCATGTTTTGCTGGGCTGGGCCACAGTGTCCCCTCCACTGACAACAAGAGTAGTAGGGGACAATGGTGGCAGGGGCAAGGCTACACTATACTCCCACCTTCCTGACTGCAGAGACTCTGCTGAGACAGCTCTTTTAACCTGAAGAAACCCCAAATAGGCCGATTTTGAAGACCCCAGGAACATGCTGACTCTGAGTTCTTGAGCTCAGGTAAGTTCTTGAGCTCAGCTCTGTGCTTGATCTGTGTGGATCAAGCACAGAGCTGGGGCCTGCGGTCCCCAGGACTGCTGGAAGCCAGAAAACGTGAAATAGAGTCAGTTTTGAAAACTACTTGGGATTCTCCGTGGCCGGGGATGGCTTTCTTTCACCAGCCGGTCACTTAGGTCTGGGAAACAGGACGCTATCAGCCATCTCGGTTCATGAAGCACAGCTGGGACCATTCCTGGTGCTCATAAAGTTTCTGGTACTACCTGGGTGTGTGTTGGGGGAAGGGGTCCTGGAGAAAGAGGGAGTTCACAAATCACATTTCTAAAGTCCTAGTTGGATCTTAAAATAGTAATTTTCAAGCTCCGCAGACTAAATAGGGGCATGCGTAAAAGGCTCCAGTGACTCAGGATGCAACGGATGTCTTGGGTTTTATATAATTTTAGGCTTCTGTGACACAGGGGTAGGAATGGGCTGCAGCATGGTTTAGTAGATAAGATCTCAGGCTGTAAAATTTAACATGCCTCTATCCAAATATAGCCTGCATCTTTCACTATTAGTGCAATTCTAGGTATCTCTGAAGCTCAGTTTCCTTATCCATTAGGCACGTATGTAAGCTTTGGTTATTACACATACACTATGTGACAGCTTATATGGTAAGCTTTTTACTTACGTATCAAATTTAATTAAAAGTATCAACCTCATACAGTGATAGGATTAGATAAAATCATGCATATACAGTACCTATTCCAGACACATAGTAACTATTCAGTAAATGGTTGCTATAATTATCATCATTATTGGCTATTATCATGGAATTTTGATTTCAGGTCTGGTGTTATTGGAGGTTGTAATTAAGCTTGAAATTGAGTTTTTTAAATAATAATCTCTCACCTTTTTGTATTCTTCCTTATGCTTAAGTCATACTTCTGAGCATTTATTAGCACTCAGGTCCAAATTGCCACCCAGAGACTCATCTATCAAGAAAGGAAGAGGGAATAAAGGATTGATCTGGTTTTGTTCTGGGTCTAGATGTTTGGGTCTAGATTCCTACTGTCCTGAACAATTGAGTGGCCTTTACTATAAATGCTGTTATGGGTTGAATTGTGCCTGTTCAAAATTCACGTGTCGAAGTCCTAAACGTCACTACCTCAGAATGGGACCTTATTTGGAGAGAAAGTCTTTACAGGGATATTTTAATTAAATTAAAATGATGTCATATTATTCTTGTCCTTACATAAAGGGGAGATTTGGAGACAGATGCATAGATCCAGAGAACACCGTGTGCACGTTAAGACATCCATCTACCAGCCAAGGAGAGAGGCCTGGAACAGCACCTTTATCTCACAGCCCTCAGAAAGAAACAACCTTGTCAGCACCTTAATTTCAGGCACCTAGCCTCCAGAAATGTGAGATAATAAATTACAGTTTGGTGCTATTCTGTTACATCAGCTCTACCAAGGAGTACAGAAAGTAACATTTTGGCTATTTTAAGGCCATGGGTGGTATCCTGTTAGGGGAGGCATGGTCAGGGAGAGCTGATGGGTAGGAATGACCAACCACTCTTGGAATTAACTTTCTTCTCCAACTTAACTGTTTGGAATTAACTTCTACTCTTTGGGTCAGCCTGAGCAGATTCCAGAAAATGTTTGCAAGGTATACTTCCCTTGGGCAAGGAATAAAGCTGACATATTAAAATTAAGTAAAAAATGACAGTAATAAGTGTTTTCAAGGGCTAGGAATTCACCAAAATAGGTATATTGTGTGAAATGGCCAGTATGAATCATCAGGTACTTTTTAAAAAAATGGACATCTAACATCCACAATAACTAGAACAGAGTAAATAGCATAATTTCTATTGGAAATCTTTAAGGCACTTGTGTTAATAACTGAATAGAATATTGATTATGTATATACAAATGTGATATTCTGTTTAGAGCTGAAGATATTCTTCAAATGGTATTTTCTGGTAAATACTTCAATAGTCAACTCACTTTAGTTACTTTTTTATTTACTTAATTTATTTTTTAAAATTTACATCCAAATTAGTTAAAATATAGTGCAACAATGATTTCAGGAGTAGATTCCTTAGTGCCCCTTACCCATTTAGCTCATCCCCCCTCCCACAACCACTGCGTTATCCCTCTGTTCTCCATATTTAGAGTCTCTTATGATTTTGTCCCCCTCCCTGTTTTTATATCATTTTTGCTTCCCTTCCCTTATGTTCATCTGTTTTGCATCTTAAAGTACTCTTATGAGTGAAATCATGTATTTGTCTTTCTCTGACTGACTAATTTCGCTTAGCATAATACCTCCATCCATGCAGTTGCGAATGGCAAGGTTTCTTTCTTTTTGATTGCTGAGTAATACTCCACCATATATATATACCACATATTCTTTATCCATTCATCCATTGAAGGAAACTTGGATCTTTCCATACTTTGGCTATTGTTGATAGTCCTGCTATAAACATTGGGGTGCATGTGCCCTTTCGAAACAGCATACCCGTATCCCTTGGATAAATACCTAGAAGTGCAATTGCTGGCTCATAGGGTAGTTCTATTTTTAATTTTTTGAGGAACCTCCACACTGTTTTCCAGAGTGGCTGCACCAGTTTGCATTCTCACCAGCAGTGCAAAAGAGATCCTGTTTCTCCGCATCCTTGCCAACATCTGTTTGTTGCCTGAATTGTTAATGTTAGCCATTCTGACAGGTGTGAGGTGGTATCTCATTGTGGTTTTGATTTGTATTTTGCTGATGATGAGTGATGTGGAGCATTTTTTCATGTGTCGGTTGGCCATCTGGATGTCTTCTTTGGAGAAGTGTCTATTCATGTCTTTTGCCCATTTCTTCACTGGATTATTTGTTTTTTGGGTGTTAAGTTTGATACGTTCTTTACAGATTTTGGATACTAACCCTTTATCTGACAGGTCGTTTGCAAATATCTTCTCCCATTCCATCAGCTGCCTTTTAGTTTTGCTGATTGTTTCCTTTGCTGTGCAGAAGCTTTTCATTTTGATGAGGTCCCAATAGTTCATTTTTGCTTTTGTTTCCCTTGCCTCTGGAGATGTGTTAAGTAGTTGCTGTGGCCAAGGTCAAAGAGGTTTTTGCCTGCTTGAGGATTTTGATGGCTTCCTGTTTTACATTTAGGTCTTTCATCCATTTTGAGGGTTTCTTTTTGTGTGTATGGTGTAAGGAAGTCATCCAGGTTCATTCTTCTGCATGTTGCTGTCCAGTTTTCCAAACACCATTTGCTGAAGAGACTGTCCTTCTTCCATTGGATATTCTTTCTTGCTTTGTCAAAAATTAGTTGGCCATATGTTTGTGGGTCCATTTCTGGGTTCTCTATTCTGTTCCATTGATCTGAGTGTCTCTTCTTGTGCCAGTACCATACTGT